AGTCGTGGTACTAGTATTTTAGCATAACGGATTTATTATTTAACACATTAGAATTTTACTTTTTACAGCCCCTTTCTTATGGATAATTTACACTTTTGACCCTTTGTAAAAAAGAATTCCCGTTTTAGTCCTTAGACCATTTTTCTTGACACTTTAGTATCAAAACTTGTTGAAAAGGTATTTTTCAGCTCAAATTTGTTTGGAAAATAGTTTTTTGTCCCTAAAAATGAAGTTTTCTCGGCTGAAACCTCTATTTTCGCAATTTTTACACTTTTGACCCAAAATGGAAAATATTTGCAATTTTGGTCCTTTTTAAATTTGAAAAGTAATTTTAACCTTTAAAATGGACTGGGTACACTAGTAGTCCTCTGTTTTACAGGAAAGTGCAGTTTCAGCCCCTCTAAATTAAAAATCTCTCAATTTGGCTTTATTGGGACTCAAAGTTCATTTTTGGCGCATTAGTTTTAAAAATTCACATTTTAATCCTTCAAAAGAGTAAATTTTCAGAAAATACATTTCTGAAACTATTTTGACTCATCTCAACCCTCAGAATTTGTATTTTGTCATTTCGGGCCCTTTAGTTTTATATTTTTAGCATTTTGAGCCCAAAAATGGGTTTTAAGCGCAAAGAGGTTCATATTAACCAACTTGGTTACTTTTCTAGAAATGATTTGTGTAAAATAACATAAGTTATACTTATTTCATTCAACACATTGTAGATCTCGATTTCTAAGCTCTTTTTGACTAGATCCAACATCACAATCACATAAGAACATATATATATATATATATGCATAGAAATCACACAAAGCATACATATACTCATAGATCTACACATTTGCTTGTATTCTCCCCCCACAAAACTTATAAAAACCGAAAAATAGGGGGTATGAAGCTCACCTTTGGGTATGGTTTCGGTTTTGGAGAAGAGATGGAAAGAAATGAGGTGATTTTCGGCCCTAGCAACCTTTCCTTGAAGATCTTGAGTTTAGGAGCTTCTAAGGTGCAAGATCACAAGATTGAATGAATTTAGAAGAGATTTTTATGAAGTGAAGGGAGTTAGATCATAAGTTAGCCATTAACTTACCTTAGATGATGAATCACTTTATGAAGATCATTAAGCTTCTAGCCAAATTTTCAAGATCTTGGTTGGAGAGAGTGGATGATTCTTGAGTAATTTAGAGAGTGTTTTTGTGAGGTGTATGTGTGTGTGTGCTCTCGGTCGAAACAAGAAGGGAGGGGAGGAGTGAGAAGCTTGACAAGATTGTTGCATGGAGATATGTGTGTTGCATGGAAAACCTAAGGACAAAAATGAGGTGTCATGAAATAAGTCAACTCTTCCTTTTCTTTTGGGCTTGTCTTAGGCCGAGAATGGAGAGAGGAGAGAAAGGATTTTTGGGCTTTTTGCCCCTAAGCCCATATTAAAGTTAGGTTGAATGATTGTTGGCCTTATAAAATATAAGTGTGATTTTTATGCTTTATTAGGCTAGGTTAGGTAAATTATGGTCCACAATAGTTTATATAATTGATTTATTTCATTCTAGGCCCAATATGGCCCAAAATATTGAAATAAATGAAAGTTGGTCCACTTAGAGCCCATTTAAAGGTTCTAAGCCCATGATAGTCAAGTCGGAAGCTTATTGGCCCATTGGGCCCAATAAGGAAGTCCTAGTCCAAAATGGACCTACACAAGAACTTCTAGGGTTTCCAATTACTTGTTGACTATTTGAAATGCTTGTATGGTCTACTTGATTGAAATTTTGTTGCCATGAAGTAAGCATCTTACATGCTCTTAAGTTTTTGATTCAACATTTTACTTGAGTGTTGTGATTACAAGACACAAAATTTCTAGTTGTGACATATATATATATATATATATATATATATATATATATATATATATATATATATATATATATATATATATATATATATATATGGAAAAGTTCAATAGAGAACCATTATTAATCAAAGACTGTGAGACACAATCCTAGCCACTCAATTACTAGATAAATAAAAAACCTTTTTAAAATGCTAAATAATTGAAAGTTTTCGAAATTTTTTTTCCAATATTATTTTCGGAGTATATATTCTCCAAAAAAAAATAACAAAAAAAATAAAAAATAAATACAAAAAAAATATATTTTTTTACATATTTTAGTACAATATTTAGAATATTTCACGTATTTAAAAAAAAGGGAAAATTTTTTTATATATTTTTTTAATTTTTTCTAGTTAAATTAAGTTCCAAAAATAATAATTAAAAAAAAAAAATTTTTGGATTTTTCCTTTTATTCTGCATTTTAAAATTATTTTTAGATTTGGTTTCACGGTTTTATAAAATTAGCATGGTCTCAAATAAACCTTAACATATATATATATATATATATATATATATATATATATATATATATATATATATATATATATATATATATATATATATATATAGGTAAAGGCTCAAATAAGAACCTAAGAACCATTTATTTTTAATTTATAATTCATGTTTTTTTTTTACATATTTTGATTTTTCTTAAGTTTTTTATAAGTTAACAAAGACAATAAGAAAATAATGGTCCTTCTTTAAAACTCATTCCATTACTTTTGAGTTTGATATATATATATATATATATATATATATATATATATATATATATATATATATATATATATATATATATATATATATATATATTTATATTAATCTTTCATAATAGCTAAGAACAAAAAATACTCTGTGATCTCCTTCAACCTCTACCGACGACCATGTAATCTCCGGCGATGGTCACCACCGACGTTGCCTCTCCTCCCTTGTTGTTGCTCTGGTGAACTGATGTCGTAAACGACACCAAACAAATATCAAGCAGTCAATGTTGGCTAAGATTATCACCGTCAAATGCCGTCGACGTGTACCTTCTACACCTTCAGATTTGTGTTCGCCTCCGATCTATGTTCGTCTCTGACCTCTAACCTCCGATGTATGTTCGTCTCCAACCTCCAACCTCCGATCTCTCCATAACATCATAAAACATGTTGTTCTCTCTTTTCTTTGGTGCTCTAACACCAACCACTGTGTTTCTCCAACAAAGATCCACTGCCTATCTCTCGATCTGCTTCCAGTTCCTCTAGATCTGCTTCCGGTTTCTCCATATTTACTTACGATTTCTCCAGATCTGTTTCGTCTCCGACCATATCCAGCTACCTTGTTCATTTCCGTCATCTACTCTACCAACTATTAGAGATCGAGATCTCTAAGAGTTTTCATATATTGTTTCCGTTTCGGTTGTCTTCGGTTATATTAGAGTGCAAATCAGATCTAAGTATACGAGGCTTTTCCATTAACGTATTCTGACGACGGTTCAGGCTTTCCGGTGAGTGTAACACAAGTAGGTGTGTTGTTTGGTTACGAGTTTCGACATAGATGCGTTCTGACAAGCATTTCATAATGATTTCAAGGATTGAGTTTAAAAATAAAAAGAGAGATTTGAAGAAATTAAATGTCGAAGTTATTATTCTCAGGTAATATTATAGAGATCCTCAAACATTTGAAGATGCAAATGATTATCTTTTTTTTTAACGGCAAATACAAATATATACTACACTACTCCTAAATTATTCCACCTATGTTTAGGGTGGGACTTGAACCATCGACCTCAAGGAGGGAGGGCAACACCGAATACCATCACACATGGAGTTTACGGTTGTAAACTCTTGAGTTTACGGCCGTAAACTCCCAAACATGTGTGTTTGGTGTGTTTTGAAGTCCCAAATGCTTTCTAGAATTATTCTAACTTAGTGGCTAAGTCCTTGGAAGGGTTTAAGGTCTAGAAGTACTCCAAATAGGAGTTTACGGCCTCAAGACCATTCCCCTTAGAGTTTACGGCCGTAAACTCTAAGTAATGTGGGTTTTTGTTGTTTTCAAGCCTCTTGCACTTGTGGGATATGTTCTAGACTTTTATTCTTAGCATATGAAGGCATTAGGCACACCTTAGTGCCCTTTTTAGGAGTTTACGGCCCAAGAACCATGTCTTGGCCGTAAACTCACTTGATTAAGTGATTTTGATGTGGTTTGGTCCTTGCATTAAGTGTGTAACAATTTCTTGTAAAGGCCTAGGGCTTTAGGTGTCATGAAAACACCCTTTTGTCCATTTAAATGGAGTTTACGGCCTAAGCTTCACTTGGGCCGTAAACTCACTTTTGTTTGTGTCATTTGATGTTTTTAAGACCTTGTGCTACTTGGGAAAATAGCCTAGATACAAGCCTTAAAGTCCTAGTGTCCTCAAAACACCATTTAGTGTTAGAATATGGAGTTTACGGCCTAAGAGAGTTCTGGGCTGTAAACTCCCAATCTTGGGTGGATTTTGGCTTGCTTTCTTGTCCCTAACATGCATACATAAACATCTAAGGCCTTATCATAACACAAGTGTCGGTTTCGGCTTCGTTTCGGGAGTTTACCGCCCAAGAACACCTTGGGGTGTAAACTCCTAGATTTCATGTTTTAGCCTTCTAAATCATGTTATAGACACATATAAAGCCTTCTAAATAATGAATGATTTTGGTTTAGAAATCTATTTATAGTCCTGAGATATTTTGGCAGAAAATATTTTTATTCCTGAAATGATCTCTAATAAAATAGAGTGTTGGAATAACAGTGTTGCACAAAACCCTAGTGCACCCACTCTCCTGATATTTCCTGAAGGGTAAACCCTGAATTTCTCAAACTTACGCGAAGAGTCTGAAAATTAACTATGACTGCTACAACTTCTATTGAAGTGATATAGTTTGTACAGAATGGAAATTTCGGGTTGTCACAGCTGCAATAGTTGGTAAGAGCCATTGTGCACATTCAATACTGGGGACACCTGAATTCATGGCTCTTGAACTGTACGAGGAGGATTACATGGAGCTGGTTGATTTGGGTTTGAGATGATGACTCTTAAACTGCCTTACAACGAATGTGATAATATTGCCAAAATTTACAATAAGGTGACATCGAGTCTATGCCCTTCATGGAAGCTTTGAGGCAAATATTTTTCTCTACAGGTGAGTTTACCATTACCATACAATGCATCAAAAGTGGGAGTGCAGATCCCACAATTAACAGCCAAGGCAACCGATACCCTACCCCTGTTAATCCTAATACTAAAGAGGTAAAATTTACTTTTATCGTTTTTGATCATGAGTTGTCGAGGATCTTTGAGGCTATTTTTTTCCAGCAAATTAATTAGATTCACTTTGCTCATGAGTGTTGTCTAACTAAACAGGTGACTCATAGAGTGATGACAGCTGGAAGTTGGAGGCATTGGAATTGGAGATCGGAAGGTGACCTAATGTTGAATGGAGCATTTTTTGTCCCATCTGGGAAAGGAGCGGTAGCCAGTTACGCACATGTGAAGAAAGGCATGAAGTGTTTTCATCTTTTGATTTTCCAGGTTCAGTTTTATTTTTCATTTTGTTGCAGGTGTGTTTCAGTCTTTTCATTTTCCATGCTTTGGATGTAACCTATAATGAATCTTTTGATTTAAACTTTCCGGTGCTCAGAATTCGAGTCATTTGATGAATCCTTATATATTTGATTACTCGACATACTTCAGATGTTAGGTTATGGCAAAAAAAGTCTCAGCTTCTTCTTCTCTCTCTCTCTGTCTATCTCTCTCTCTCTCTCAACCTTCTTTTCTAACTGTGTGTGTTTATGCTTACCAATGTAGTCTTTCTGTTTCTGTTCCATTTCATGCATCCTCTTCTTTCATAGTTACTGTTATATCTGATGATACTTGTTTTTTTTGTTTGTTGCTTTTACAGGGATATTATGTTTGAGTCTCAAGTTGGTGAGCATTACACATGCAATTTCATCAAGAGTGGACAAATTCATCATCTTTTTTAGTTTTATAAATAAACAAAAGTTATTATTATTTGTTTTTATCATTTTTATTTTTTGATGTCATACTAATGTAGCTCCATTTTTTTCATGATGATTAGACAAGGAGACATGATTTGGCTGGTGTTTTGTTGAATAGAGGTATCGACTTGGATCCATTAAGCAAGTGGTCAAAGGTAAGGATCATACATCATCTTTGTTTTTAAAAATATGTAATTTTTCCATAATTGCCCCTTGAACAATGACAACAGGTTGGCTTGGTTGTATATGATCATCAAGTGCCATATGGTTCAACTCCAGAATACATGGCTGGTCATTACATGGTACTTATATAGTTGTTGCTCCTCAAGAGGAAGAACGAATTGTTGACATGTCGTAAGTATTCATCATATTTTTACATTTTATCTCCAAATAATGATTTAAAAACTTTTAGTTTGTAAAAAGTTTTTAAAATGAATTGTAATCTCTCAATTTTATATACTCTCTTTGTTTTTCTACATTTAAAAAAAAATTAAAAGGAATTGTAATCTCTCAATTTCATATTTTGGTCTTTGCATATTTTGGGCTTAACCCATTAAGTCACTATGCCTAGATTAAGTGAAAAAGAAACATCCATGTGTAGCTGTCCAAGGTATTAGTAAAGGCGAAAAAAACATTTGATAATGATGGAATCTACACATCAAACGTTGTGTACAAAGAAGTGTTATGTGATTAACAAGGTACAATCAACAACTTATTATTTTACAATTTCTTCAAATATGTATCTTAGATGCTTATTTGATGTTTAATGCAGTGCTAGCAGATGAAGCAACATGATTACGGATTGGTGTAGTTTATATATTGGACATATTAGAAATATACAAAGCTACATGGTTGCAGATTGTTGTTATTTATATATTGTAAAATCAAGTATGAAGTATTAGATGAATTATTTGAGATGTAGACTTAACTTTTATCGTATTGTATGACTATGCTCTTAGCAAGAAACTATATGTTGAAATGAACTATTCTACACAAAATAGTCTACCAAATGGTCGTAATGAATAGGTCACGTCTAAAGGAAACTAATCATCACATTAAAACTATCTTCCGAAAAAAACTTTTTGCCGACCGGCGCTTAGCGCGGGTAAACGGCTAGTGGGTATATATATATATATATATATATATATATATATATATATATATATATATATATATATATATATATATATATATATATATATAATAAATGGATCGAGGGCCTAGCCCACAAAACAATGATAATGTTATAGCTGGCGCGACATGACTAATCGTTCAGTTTCAGACAACGACCATTGAATCAACCCCATCCACCTTCTTTTTTTCCCCTCGCTGTACATTTGCTACTATTCCATTTCGTTTACTTCCACTTCTAATTATTATGATTTTTACTAATATAAATAATATGTTATATTTACATATATTCGCAAATATGTAAAAATATAAAGCTTATCTAATAATTTGAGGATATCATTTTGTCATTTCAATAAAAATACGCTTTTTCAGGTTATTTTTTTAATATTCATCGATTTGATATATGAATTTTGCATCTTAGCTCTCGAATTCTTTTGACAAAAATCCTATCTTATTATCCTTCTAAGATATCCCAAATCGAAAAGATATTTGATTTATTTCTAAGAGTATTCACTAGCTAATGTGATTTGGAGAATTAAAATAGTGCAAATTATGCGTTCTTATGATTTTCCGATTTTAAGGTCGTATTTAATTGATAAATTTTGAATATTTGTGTATTGGAGATACATGTATTACATTATATTAAAATTATTATTTTTATTTTTATTTGTTTAGATCATGTTTTTAACGAAAAGACTGAATATTTAATTATTCATTATTCTTTTTATGTTTTTTAATAGATATTTATAATGATATATAAAAAATGATTTCTTTTTCTTTGAAGAAAAAATTTTGTTTTCATTATTTTTTTAAAAGAAAAGGTTTATTAAAAAATTAATAAATATATCAAAGTTCATATTTTTTTGTAATACTTATATGAAAGAACAAAAAAAAAAAAAAAAAAAAATCAAAATTAAAAAAACATTGATTTTTTTTTTCAAATTCATGTTATGAATGTTGAAAACTAAATTATATATAATTCAGATTCATAGTGTGTGTGAATATTAATAAGTCAAATTTACATCCTAAAAACCGAGTTATACAATTCAGATTCACGAGTTATATACAATTGTATTAATAAATGAATTTATAATTTTTTACAAAACTAATTTCCAAAAAATCCACTTTGTGCTCTTTTTTTTTATATATATTTTGGTTTATTTTTTTATAAAAAATAATATATATATATATATATATATATATATATATATATATATATAAATATCAAAATTAATAAGTTTTTGTATTCTTTAAATAAACATTCACATTGATGCATAATTTTTTTTTTTTGAAGTTTTATCTCAGATTCACATTGTAAATGTTGAAAATTGAATTATATCTAGTATATATTCACAATGTGAATAAATTCACTTATGAATTTCACAAAACTAATTTATATGTAATCAAACCATTAAGATGATGTTAAAGTTTTAAACCTTTTGCATATATTGATAATGTCTTGAAAGAGATCAAGATATGAGATTCTTTTGGAGGACTCTTGTCATTGTCGCATGTCACCACTTTGAGTCAGCCTCAAAATGTCCTAACACATAGGTTTGAGCTAGAATAAATGATTTATAGTCTATTTGCTTTGACAAATGAATCCATCATTTATGTCGTACTATACACAAGACCAAGTATATGATCATGTTAAGAACATAACATAAGATATTAATTGGATACGTATGTACGTCACTTGATGAAAATGAGAACATTCAAAGAGTATTTAAGAAGAGCTATGAGAACGTACACGAGTTAATCAGTTTAGAAGAAAATATTTATATAAAGAGATACACAAGATGCTACCTTCAAAACTGAGAGATATAATTATGAGTTATAATTAGATTAAGACTGCATTATGGAATGAAGAGTAAGTTTTATTGGAATGAGGTCCATCCAAAATAATAATAATAATAATAATAATAATAATAATAATAATAATAATAACTAGATGTGTTCCCCCCGCGCTGCGGGGGTTGGAAGGTGTTGCTTTTGTGTGCAACTATAGTACATCGTCTTAATTGGTAGCCACAATAAAATATGTTGTTATGCTGTTGGGTAAATCACCTTAATTGGTAGCCACTAAAATCATACTCTTTCAACTATAGTAATTTTTTTTCTATTTATTCCTTCCATAAATTGTTACTGTCTAAAATATTTTTTATTACGCGAGGTCTTAGAGAGATAAAAGCAAAAAAGTTAAAAACTTGTACACTTATATATAAATCCCCAAAACCACCACCATCACAATTAATCTTCCAAAATTAACACATTCCTTACTTCTTTTTGCAATTGATAATAAACAATAAAAAGTATAGAACCTTTATCAGCAAGTCATTATAATCTGATTTTCAAGAACCCCTGTAGAATTAATATTAGTAGCAGCCGCAACAACTAAGTTTGAAAGAATTCTTTGGGACTGGTTTGAAGTACCAACATCTTGATCCCTGAAATAATCCAAAAAACAAAATATAAGATCAAAAACATCATTTTTACACTTAAGAAAATATAAAATTTCACCTTCACAACTGATTTTTGAGAGACAATAAGATAACTGACAATGCTTCATTATCTTGGCCAATTAACTTTGCACTCTTAATAGCATCACATCCTCTAGGAGCAGCAATTTTTGCACAAAGCTTCCTAAAAATCACATACCACAAGAACGAAAAAAGAAGGGTAAAATGGTCATTATAAAACTTGCAATAATAACCAAAACTACAAGATGGTGGTGAAAACCACATATCTCACGGATAAAATGGCTAAATGGTCATTTTAAGAAATTTGACCAAAAAGATTGATGAAGTTAAATAAAGAAGGAAATCAAATAAAGGTCAGAACTAAGAATTCAAAAACAAAGTTAGAAATTAAGAATTCTCATAACAGCTAACATGGTACTCTTTCTCACATTGGAAACAAACATCAATAGTATCACAAACATAAATAAATACTCCATATTAAGTCAACAAAACAAAAAAAAAATACTTTTTACCTAGCTGATGACATTGCATTACTGTCTAATCATGTTGATAATTGTGCAACATTGAAATCATGCTTTCATCCTTCTCCTACCTCTATATGGTATTGGTTTTTAAGTTAGACAGAAGATGTTGCAAACCTGAAGGGATGTTTTTAATGGCTGTTCCAAATAATTATTTTTAATCAAGTCCAATCATAAAGTCAACCTGTTTACACCAAAGGTATAAATAAATTGGTTTGAACATCAATCAAAAATTTAGTGTATATATACAAATACACATAATAATAAAAAAATAATAAATAAATAAATTGAAAGGCAGACTCACCGTCTGAGGTTGTGGCACCACTCCTTCTTCTGAGATACCGATGACACCTAAAAACCCATATCACAATATACAATACATGAAATATTGGTCAATTATTTAATCCGGTGGGAGGGAGAAGTGGGCGGTGGTCAAGGAGTCGCTGGCGAAAAGATTTATAGGGGACGATCATAGTAATTGATAGGAATCAAAAAATGGGGGTTTCAGGAAGCTGATGAATTGAGGGTAGAAGGGAGTCGATTGTGTTAACGAATAAGAAGAACCACTAAACATTCATTGCATCAGTCCATCACAACTCTTCAATTGAAATTACAAAAAATGAATCCATTTAGTCATCTAAAGTATTTGACCACCATCGATAAAGAAGAAATACCCAAAAATTGAAAACATAGGGTTTACCTTCTACAATGCGATTCTGGTAAGCAAAATGAGACTCTTCTTTCATATCCGATCTAAGCGGTTCTAGCGTTAAAGAAAGCAAAGGCAGTGGTGGTGAAAACCGGAAAGCTCATAGAAGAAGAATACGTATAGAGGAAGGTGATGAAATGGTGAAGGTGGTGAGAAAAATTTATTTAGCACCACCATATAGAAGAATACGGTGGTGATTGGCGATGAGAAAAATCAATTCGCGAGATTAACATCTGTAATAGCTCGAAATCCAGGTACTTTTATTTAGCCCTTCACCTTTATATATGTTGTCATTTAAGGGATTTTGTGTTGGGCGAGTACGTTGCGCGTACTCACGCACTTCATTTAAATGCACCATCCCCCGGTTACGCTGGGCGTACCCAAGGTTACGCTGGGTGTAACTGGTCCAGACCCAAAAACCCTAATTTTGTGGATTGGCTATAAAAGGAATGAGATGGCTTGGTTCCTCAGCC